TTTTTTCTAGAGTGCACATGAAATTTTAAAACGAAGAACGTAATCATGAATGCCAGGTGGTCTCTCCACCTCACATGGATTGCACAGCCCCCAGGAAGACACTGCAGAGCACAGGGTCTGAACCATCAGGCCAATTTAGCCATGAAACCATGAAACCAAGATCACTGGCCCCACACCCAGGGGATCCCTTCCACCCAAGTCTGAGCACTCTAGCTGCTCATGGGCAGAAAAGCCACCAGGCTGAGGCAAAACACAGGAGCACCAAAATGCAGATTCAGACCCGAAGAGGCCAGGAAGTGTCCACTGAAGCCCAGGGTACCAAGTCCCTCCCTAATAATAACAGCAGCCACTGTCCATCAGGCCCTGCATAGGTGCTAGATATATTGCTAACTGTTTTATCTACATTCTCATTACTAAAATGCCTTATAAGCCAGGCACAGGCACATACATGCCTATAAACCCAGTGATTGGTAAGTTTGAGGTCAGCCTGGGCAATGAAGCAACTCTTGTCTCACAATAAAAATGAAAAAGGTTTGGGGGTTTAGCTCAGTAGTAGAGCATTCCTGGGTACAATTTCCATACCACCAAAAACACAAACAAACAAACAAAAAAAAACCTCGTAAAGTTCTCTCCATTTTACAGATGATGAAGTTAGGTCCTAGAATTGCTTTAACTTGCTCAGAGTTCCAATGTCAGGGCTGGTAGTAGAACCAAGATGCAAACCTGGCAAGGTCAGATTCTAATAATAAATTTTGGTCTCGGGGTCCAGATCAATTCCTAGAATCAGACCTATCTATGATCCAATTCATGGGGTTACTCTCATAAGCGGGGCTAGACTTTAGGATTCTGGATAGAATTCTGACCAGTCATGGGGATGGGCTATGGTATGTATTTTTACTGAAATGGAGAGATTCTAGCCCATAGCACTATTAGATTCACCCTTGAGCTGGGAAAGCTAAGGGTTAGAAGGGTGGGAGCATGGACCTGAATGCCCCCCTCCCAGTAGGGAGCCTTCTTTGAAAAGGAACACAGCATGTGCAAGACCACAGGCTCAGAGCCTAAAGGCAGGCTGTCATATAAGAATCCTGGTCCTCCAGTAGCCCATGTGCTGGATCCTGGCTCCAAAGGGACAAAGGACACTGAACACTGTGAGGCCTCTTGCTCTTAGAAGATAGATGTTAAAGAACAGGCCATCTTAACCAAGGAAGCAGCTGCAGGTGAGAGGCTCTGGGACCTRACTAGAAACCAAGAGCAGCTAGGAGTACCCCACAGGCTGTAAGGACCTAGGGCAAGTATCCCAGCTGTTCTGAGAGGCTGGCAGAGAGGAAGACACCAGCCTTCCGAGGCAGGAAGTCCATCTGGGTCTGAGTTCTGCTGCATACCAGCTGGACGGCTGTGGGCAGGTTGTCAGACATCAGCCCCCATCTGTTAAGCAGGGGAGGAACTGGCCCGGCCACCTCCTATGGTTATTTAAGGACCAGAGAGGTGGGGGAATGAGCCATCGCATTCTCTGTGAGCTGTACCGCCCTAGGAGGTACCTCTGACTGCAGAGCCACCAGAGCCCAGGCATGCTGCCAAGCTCCTCCTGCTGTCCAGCTGAACCATCCCCAGTTTCAACATCAACTCATGAAGGTAACCTAATGAGTGCAGAGGGAATCAATGGGGAAGGTGTCACTGAAGTGGGGAGGGTGGCATTGTACAGTGGCAGCTATTAAAACTCTGCAATATGAAGGCCTTGGCCCGGTCTGCAGCCAGGACTCACCAGAGCAGTGGAAGCACTGTGTTYTCCCCCCAGTGGCTGCCAGAGCCCATGCTGAACCAGAGGTTCCAGCAGAGCCCTCCAGGGGAAGGGGAAAGGCAACCCCACGGTCTGATGTCAAAGCTGCACCCAGTCCTGAGTGCAACTTAGGGCTGAGTGGGTTCTCCTAAAGAACAACAGGATCCCCAAGTACAGGGTCCACGAAGATCTTTCTGGAGCAATGGGGCTCCTTGGAGGGAGGGAAAGGAAGCAGGGCTCCAGTCCAACCTGCCACACTCCACCAGGTGTATCCTTGTTTTGAAGATTAGGCTCTGGCTAAATTGTCCTTTCAAAATGAAAGGATTCTTGGGGTGGGGTGGGGACATAAAAGGCAATGGTAGCCTAGACCCGGCATGTCACCAAACCCTCAGAGGGCACACATGGATTCAACAGCAGGGGCCCATGAGGAACCTTGGTTGGCCACAATCCCTCTTGTATTCCTCGATAAAATGTTCCTAATCTCCCTCCTCCCTCCTCCATGCCCATCTCCTCCTCCCCCAAGGGAGACTTCAGACTTCTACAAAACCTGTCTTTATCCTCAGTGTTCTAAMAGGCAGGAGGCCAAACTGGCAAGCAGGAAGGAAGGAGTATAAGTAGCAGAATTATTCAGAGAAATACTTACAGACAGGCCTTCCCTAGCAAAGGCTGCAGGAGAAAAAGTAGAGAGAGAAAGAGAGCAGTCAGTCAGGAGGCAGAACGTCACCTGGCAGGACAAGCCCTGGCTAACCCCCACACCTGGCCCAGCCCGCTGCTCCCAGACAGCCCTGGGATTGGGCCATCCTGGAGGACCGTCCTGTCAAAGCCGGGGCAGCTCTGAAGTGGGGAGCGAGGACAGGGCTCCTGCCACAGTGTCCTACATGACCAGGGACAGTGCAGCTCAAGATGTCACCTGCCCCTGCTGAGGCAAGTATCCTAAAGTATCTGTGAGAGCCACCTCTGCACTTCCAAAGACGACCCAGGGATATACCAGAATAAAATGCCAGAGAAAGACTATTTCAGTTCTGCTTGATTTTCATTTAAAAACCCTCAGATTTGAGACCTGAAAGGAATTTTATCAGAGGTTTTATCCGAGGTTTCCCCCACTCCTCATCAGCAAAGCCAAAGAGACTGAGGRTCAGGCCCATTAAGAACCACATTCATGCTGGTGGCAGAGCTACAGCCACCCCCAGACACACTGCTGTCTCGTTGTATTCAGCTCTGTGTGCCAGACAACAGGTTAGAGGCATGGGGGGAAAAAAATCACCTCATCTGATCTGCCTTCTATGGTATTATTCCCCCATTCCACAGATGGGAACACGGAGGCCAGGGAAAGTTAAATGACTTGCAGAGGCTGCAGCACTCTTCCCACATCACATCCCAGACACCAAGAGACTTAAGGAAGCTCTGAGGAAGGCAGGAAGAGTTGGGGACTTCCAGGGCACCCTAGCATTGAGGTCACAAACAAAGCCCATTCGAAATTCAGCCTATATTGATTTGTGAGAGGTCAAGCATAGGGGCAGAGGTGAGGGACCCCTCTGGGTGGCACCCAAACTGGAACCCAGGGGTTTTTATATCTCACACATTTGCAAAGCTTCTTGGCTACCTTTTAGGAAAGTACTTGTTTTCTGCAAACAAATCTTAATGCCCAAAAAACAGAAACTTGCAGCCTTTACTTTTCTGAGCTAGTGAAAATAGTTAAATGCAGGTGGGTTGGATTTGTTTTGGTTTTGACCACCTGTGTGACGAAGTGGCTCCTTCCTGGCTGTCCAGCCTGCACAGGSTGCCTGGTTCTAAGGGGACCACACTGGCTCTGGACGGACACCAGGGCCAGCTCTTCTGTAATGGGAATGACAGCAAGGAGGACAAGTCAGAGAAATACCCAGCTATAGGGTAGGACAGAAAAGACTGTCCACGTGGACAGACTTCGGGACTAGGGGGCGGCCATCGACTCCAATTTAGAAACAACTATCACCAACGTAAACAGGACTTAGGCATTTCACTATTTCTTCTGCTCTGTCCAGTTCTGCCCAGGAAAGATCACAACCTCAGAAGGACACGTGCAGTTATAGTTGTCAGCAAGGAAAGGTCTTCAGAGRGGGCTTCTTGTGTTCTCCCCCAACAAACGTACATGTGCACGCACGCACACACACACTCACTCTCACAGACTCCACTCACTCACAAACATGACACATCCCGGGTCCAGGGCCATTGCCCCAGTCACGCTCCCTCGCAGGCAGGTAGGAAAGGGGAGTCACTGACTTGTCCGGGCAGCTGCGTGGGCACCTCCGGGGGCAGGCAGCTGGGCAGGGCAGCAGAAGTGGAAGCCACATGCTCCTCAAAGCTGTTGATGCGAGGCTTTTTGGTGGGCTCGGGGCTGGCTAGTGGGGTGACACTATTGCGTCTCATGAGCGGGTTAGGTCCCTTCTTTGCATCCTAAGCGAGACAAAGACAAAAGAGAGAAGGCGACAGTTACAGGGAGTGAAGGGAGGGAGATAAGCCAATGAAAGTCCCCCTACTCCTGGGTTTTATGGACACAACCACAGCTGGACCAAGTGAGTGGCAGTGGGCCGTGTTTGTGCCACGACCTCCGAATGGGGACAGGGATGATTCCTTCCCATTCCTTCCCTGGATCATTCCAAAGGGCATCCACGTGACAGAGACAATGTGAGCACAGTAGGGAGAAGAATAATTTCAATCACAGCAGAGAAGGAGGTCAGAGAAAAGAACCTTGCTTCCAGCCCCCGAAGGGCCCCAGAGGGGAGCCCAAGAGAAACACTTGGGTCTGAGGCTCAAAGGAGAGGGAGAGAAAGGTGTCGGTGCCAGTTCCCTTCGCCCAGGACCTGCAACGCATGTGCACCTGCTGAACACTCTTGTGAGCCACACCCTGCCAGAGGACAGGACTCGGGGGCTTCCAAACCAGCCAGGAGACCAAAATTAGGAAAATCAGCATCAGGCAGAGTCTGCCAGCTAGGATCAGACACCATCACTCCCACTGGCCCTGGCCAGAGCCTCTGCCCTGAGGTCTCTCTGTCACTGCACCACTCTGGTGCTCCGCAAGCAAGTGTTCTGAGACCCCAGGTCTGGAGCAGCAGGCCGCAGCCAGGCCAGGGCTGTCCTCACAGGGCTAAAGCAGTGCAGATTCAGTGAACTCATTCAGAGGGGAGAGGGCTACAGAGGCAGGGTGAGGCGGCGGAGGAACATCGGCCTCTCGTTTCACTCCACAGACGAAGCTGGGCAGTAAACTGGCTAACGTCTCATGTGTTCTTCATGCCAAACTCTGATGGCCAAGCTCCTTAGATGGGGGACTCCACAGAAAGTCACRGTCGGTATAAGAACTACACTAGCAAAGCACGCATTTTGACAGCCTGTAGAAAACAAATTCAAACTCACTTTTACAATGCACTCCTGGACAGAGATGAAATCTGCTCAGTAAGAGACTTGCCCTGAGTGACCCCAAAATCCTAGAGCTCCCCGAGGAAGACAAAAACGACCAAGCTCTGGGTATCCTGAAATCCTTCCTGCTGGTCTCCCACCTAAACTCCTGCTGATTCTGAACCTAAGCACATGCTGATGACCTGAAGATGGGCTGGTCCTGTCAGAGCCAGGAAAGCAGTTTTAGGGGCTGAAAAAAGCMACAGACACTGTGCTAGGGTGAGGTTTCAACGGGAGATAATCGCACTTCTCCAGTCAAGGAGAAATGGGGAGAGAGAGAGCAGGGAAAGAAAGAAAAGGAATAAACGGACCCCAAGAAGCCACAGGAAAGACGGGCAGGAGCACAGAGGTCCTGACCAGGGAAGCCACCCAGGCCAAGCTGCTCCCATGATGAAGGCCAGGAAGGGGACATCGTCCATCGAGAGACCTCCACTCACCTCTGACCTCTCCCGGTGTGTGCTCACTGACTCCACATTCAGGTAGATGGATTCCACGCGGCAACCTGGGGGGACGAAGGATGGGGGAGAGAACAGCTTCTTTTAAAGGGACAGTCCTGCCTACAACTCCCGGGGCCACCAAGAGACACAGACCCCAGAGGCACTGCTCGGCAAGGGCTACTACTCACCATAAGCGACAGGTGTCAGTTTCAGGACAGTGTGAAGGGGGCATTTCAGGTAGGGCATCTCTTCTGAAAAAAAGAGAGATGAGCCCACAATTAGGTACAAGACTTGAGGCAGAAGGAAGAATCAAGGGATATCTGTGGGCCCACACCAGGAGCCCCAGAAGCCATTCTGGGGAAAGGGCATCTCATTCCAATATTCAAGTCATCCTGTCCAAGGCGGGTGGCCCTAGGAAAAAACACCTATCCAAAAGAATATAATAAAAACAAACCCAAAACCCACACTCTCTTTAAAAAAAAAAAAAAAAAAAAAAACTATTTTCCTAAAAATTCAGGTCTGTCTAGGGATTCATCTGGGTCTTGGGCGTGAGATTCTCATTAGCATTCTCTGGGCTCTTTGTTCTTTGGAAATGGACTGATGAGAAGAGATACATTCCCCCCCCCACACACACACCCAAAGGCCCTTCTATGTGTGGAGCTGAGGGCTTCCGGTAGGCTGTGTTTGACCTGATGAGCAGTGTTCCCAAGGGACAGCAAGGTGGCTCTGGGAGGAGAGGATCCTGCTGCAGGCTGGGAGCCAGAGCCCTGTCCTGCCTCTCCTAACACTCAGACACGCAGCAGGGTGGGCAACCACGGGTCTGTGGCCACCTGTACTCAAGGGCCAGATTTCTTCCCACTCTTTCCCAAGGCCACAGACTGCCTGACCGAACCTGCACTCTTATCCAGGAAGTAGGCCAGCAGGCAGCGCAGGACAGCCTGGTGACAGATGACCAGCACATTCTCCTGGCGCTCCAGCTCCATGATCACAGGCTCCAGACGCTGGACCAGGTCCTGGTAGGACTAAGCACAGGAATGGGACTCCACGTTAGAGCAGAGGGCACCTAGGGAAGAGCACTGCCAAATCCTGAGGGGAACATACACCTGCCAGTTTCTCTGAGTGCCTTCCTCTTCCTTCACCTCTCCTGGGGGGTGAGGGACAGAGGTGGTTGAGGAAGTGCAGACTGTACAACAGAATATTATTCAGCCATAAAGAGGAATGAATGACACACACCCCAATATGGAGGAACCTCAAAACCTTTTATGTTGAGCCAAAGAAGCCAAGCACAAAAGTCCATATTTACTGCATGACTCCACTTCTACAAAATGCCCAGAACAGACAACTCCAGAGGCAGAAAATAAGTTCATGACTGCCAGGGGCAGGGGCTGGGGGAATCTGGAATGACTGCTAACAAGTCTGAGGTCTCCTTTAGGGGTGAGGGAAATGTTCTGGAATGAGTGGTGACGATGACATGGCACTGTGAATACAGCCAGCCTCCTGACTCTGTGGGTTCCACAACCAATTGCAGATTGAAAATATTCAGGTGATGCCAGTCTGCAGCTGGGAACAGTGGCACACCTGTAATCCCAGTGACTCAGGAGGATCACAAATTCGAGACCAGCCTTAGCAACTGAACAAGACCTGTCTCAAAATAAAATAAAAAAGGGCTGGGGGGGTATAGTTCAAGGGTAAAGTACTTGACTCGAATGTGGGAGGCCTGGGTTCAACACCTAGTATAGGGAGGAAAAACTGCATCTGACTGACTGAATGCAGATTTTTTTTTTTAATTGTCATTATTCCCTAAACAACTGTTTAACAACTGTTTACAGAGCACTTACATTATGCTGGTATTGTAAGCAATCCAGAGATAATTTCAAGTACAGGGGAGGATGTGTGTAGATTATATGCAAATAATATCTTGAGCAACTATCTACAGGGTTTGGTATCTTCAGGGAGTTCTGAGACAATTCCCTGAAGATACCAAGGGACAACTGTCTACTGAAACCCACTGACTCACATATTTTAACATGGTTAAAATTGATAAATTCGTCAATAAATGTAAAAAAAGGGGCATGGTTTTGTCTCTAAATAAAGATCTGCAAAGCTCCTCTTCACCTGGGCCCCTCCCACCCTCCTTCCTTTTCCTCCTAACCAGCAGCCCAGTGAGCAAGGGCCAGCATGAGACAAGAGGGCAGCATGCTGCCCACCAGGGACTGCGGTATGACAAATGCTCAAAGGGCATGTTCAGGAAGGGCACCCACTAGGTGTCCACCAGGGGCCTGGCCAGGCTCCCACAGTCCCACAGGGTGACCGGCTGCACAAGGGGAAATGCCCTCTGCCAGCATTATCTCAGACCCCAGCACCAGTGATACTAGATGACGTCCTGGGGCCTGGCCTGTCTGCTATCTCAAGCTCTGGTGCCGAGCGAAGCCTTGTCCCACGTCACTAAGAGTGTAGAGTCAAATCCATGCACCCCCCACTTTCTCTTATGGGAAAATATAACTGCACTTCCCCTAAGGCTGTGGAACAAGGAAAGTCAAACCAAAGAAACAGCAAAGTTCCTAAGTGGAACCTTGGCAGAGGTAACAAGGAGCYTGCAGGGAACAGAATGGGGAGCCACAGCCCTCTCTATGCCAAGCCCACCCACAGCACTCACCACCTGCCCAACCTCCTCATAGGAAACGAACAAAGGCCCACAAACAGCACGGGACAGGAGGCAATCCCCCAGCTCACCTCGCCTGTGGGGTAGCGGTAGTAGTACTTGTCCTGCTCACGCAGCGCGTACTCCTCAGGGTAGGTGTCCCTGATCTCCTCGTAGGTCAGCTCCTCACACACACCCTGATGGAAACACCCGCGGTCACTCCAGGGAACACACCCAAAGGGACCACGGCAGGAGGCTCTGCAGGAGACCTGCGGAGGCCACCCAGGATGCCCCAGGGACACGGGTACCCCTCTGCCCCCACCCTCCCCCACCATGGCCACGCTGGTCCAGGGACTCACGGCATCGATCTCGTTSAGCGCCTTCCATTGCTCATAGGGGAGCTTCAGCGCCTCTGCCGTCTGGATGGTGCTCTTCAGCTGGCTGGTCCACACCCGGAGGTCCTTCAGGTTCTGCTCCTCCACAAACTTGCTCAGGGCATTGGCAAACTGACAATTGACAGGGAGAAGGGGCACAGTGATGCGGGCTCCTGCAGGGTTCACACCCCCCATGCTGGGCTGGGCTGACACGGACCCACAGTACTGAGGGTGGCTGACCCCATAGGATACAAGCTCCTCAGAGCCCAGGAGACATAGCTCTGCTTGTCCCCTCCTAGTCCACACACACACACACACACACAAACACACATATACCCTAGTGAGGCAATGACAGGAGACAAGGCACTCCCCACTACCCTCCTACACATGGGAGCCGGCCCCTTCCTGCCACCCATCAGCCCCCAGCCCCTGCTCTCCACTCTCCTCCTACCTTCTTGCCTCGGCTAGACAGGCCTGAGTCCCCGCCAATCTTGCCCTGGAGGTTGAACTCATTCTCGCCATGCCGGCACAGGTAGATGGTGCGGGGCTGCACGTGGATATTCATTAGGTAGTAGACGATGCGGCTCTGGATGTGGTCCTGAACTCTGTTCACCAAGAACCTCCGGCCAACGTCGATTACTTTGATCAATGACAAGTCCCTACAAAGAAACACCACTGAGGACCACCCCTCGGGCCTCCCTGGACAGCACCATCAACACACCCACCCCTGGGCCTGGGCTGGCTTCCAGAGACTTGCTCCCTGGGAAAATGGCAATGCGGGACCGAACACTGCAGGGCAGACTCCGTCTTCCCCTCCAGGAGCCAGAGAGTAAGGGCAAGGCTGGTTCCCACAGCAGGGTCTGGCCAAGAAGCTGGCTGGCCACCCAGGAGAAGGGGGGAGAGAAAAGTGAGAGAATGGAAAAGAAATGAAGGAAGTCTCAGGGGACAGGAGCAAGACAGGGCTCAAGTGGGCACCCCTCCTCCACCTCTACGAGCTGTCAAAAATGTTTGTATTGTTTGTAATCAAGATTTTTTTTAAAGACATTTTAATAATTTCATTTTTTATTGGTACACTATAAATAGTGGGATGCGTTATGCCATGTGTACAGGCACATGATTTTTTTTAAGGAGAGTTTATGGAAGTATTCAGGGGCAAATGCTTTGTGGGAACATCAAGCGAACATTAAAAGCCCTAATTGAGGCAATTCAGAGACAGACACCTCTTGGAATTACCTGTCACATTTATCAGGGTCCAGCGGCTGATAGCTGGCTTCATAGCAATTGATTCTCTTCATAAAGTCGTCCATGGCTTCTGCCGAGTTGCAGTCTTTGTAATCCGGGCTGGAGATTTTAACTTCCTGTAATGCCACAAAGAGGCAGCTGATGAATCACGCTGGGAGGCTTTCTGCTTAGATAAAGCAGGATTTGGAGCTTTCAAAAGGGGAAAGCCCAGAAAGGCTCAGAATAAAGATTATCCTACCCAGCGTTTAAGAGGGGGAAAAAAAAAAAAGAAAGAAAGAAACTGGGGGTTGACTCAGAGCCCCATGATTACATTGGGAGAATGCCCATGGGAGACAGAATCACCGGCGGCAAGGACAGACACAGGAAATCCACAAGGATCCCATAATGAACACCTCAATAGACCACTGAGTCAGGATCAGTCCCGTAACTGAGTCACCACCAGATAGCCTGGCCCTCAATTGAGCTAAATCCCACATAAGCATCTGTAATGTTCCCCACTCCAGGAGCAAGTCAAAAGGCACATTAATAGTTGCTAGGGATGCCCCTGACCTTGAGTGTACTATCCATTCACTTGGACAGAGGCAGCACCCACTTGTGGCTGTCTGTGACTAACTGCTTGTCTAACTAGACCTGGGGCCACACCTCTCCAAGGGCTGCCCTCCTGAGTGAAGCTGCCCTCTCCTGTAATGGCACAGTAGGTCCAAGGAACCAGGCAGATTTTAGGGGAAATTCAGGATTTTTTAATGCCTGTGCTTCCTTTCTCCTTGACAACCATCACAACTAGGAGACAGTGGCACTTCAGGGCTCCAAGTCAGTGAGCGGGTAGCTGGTGTTTCATGGTGCAGTTACACATGGGCAGACAGAAAGGCCTGGTAAGGCCGCTAAAATGGTAACATGTATCACACAATAAAAAAATAAATAAATCTAAGTTCACCAGCTCTCACACCTAACCTGCAAAGCTGCTTCAAGATTTAACCAAAGCAAGAGACTTCTGTACCCAAAGGGTTGGGGGAAATGACCAGCTGCATTAACACTAAAAGAGAAAAGATAAACTTATAGCTAAGGGCTGGGGTTGTGGCTCAGTGGTAGAGCACTTGCCTAGCATGTGTGAGGCACTGGGTTCGATTCTCAGCACCACATGTAAATAAATGAATTTAAAAAAGGTCTATGAACATCTAAAAAAAAAAAAACCTGCTAGCTAAGCACATTGGTAACAACTTACTGGGGAAAATGGTTTCCCAGCTGCACCTGACTTCTCTACCAAATGGAACAAGGAAAGTCAAGCCAAAGAAACAGCAAAGGCCTTTGTTCAGATTATTGCAACTTCTGTTTCCTTGTACTTTGAGCCTCTTCCTTTGGACCCACTAAAACTCATTTGAACAGGTTTTCCTCAATTCAAAGAGCTCTTCCTGAAATATGAACTCACTTCTTACCAACACCTGTAAATATATCCTCTGCCTTGGAGCAAAGGACCAATATCAGAAGCTAATGTGTGTTTAGAATCCCCTTTAAAAATGCGTATTTGTGCCGGGCGCAGGGGCACATGCCTGAAATCCCCAGGGACTAGAGGCAGGAGGATGGCAAGTGTAAGACCAGCCTTGGCAACTTAGTGAGACACTGTCTCAAAATAAAATAAAATAGAGCAGGGGATCTAGCTCAGTGGCAGAACATTCTTGGGTTTCATCACCAGCACCACACACACACACAAAAAGATCTATTTGTATGCAGCAATACCACAGCATTCACTCTCCAAAAAGAACTGCTCTTCTTTATGAATTTGTCCTATTCTGATATGTTTAAGCTAGAAAGAAAATGGTCTACAATATGAAGAAGTGACCTAAGAGAAAGTCCTCACACAAACCATTTCTATGTACAATACATTGCTATCAAGTGATAAAATTAAGAAATAATCAAATTATGCTGCCAAGTACCCTCTAGCTCCCTCTCACATTGGAGAAGTCTGTTAGATTTTTGCACTAGCAGGAGAACAGCTTTACTACAGTCCTTCTTCCCAAGCCTAGGGACTCTGCCTTCATAGGCCAAGTCCTAGAGACCTGTGCTTATACACAACCCGAGAGACTTTCTCAGCACAGGAGATCAGCCTGCTGCTTCCTGTCCCATCTGGRGGGGTCAGCTGCCCTGGATCCCAGACAGACCAGTGGCCACTCTACTGCCAAGCTCCTGTCACCTGCAGAAACTGCTCTCCATCTCCTCACTGGAAATCTCTCATGTCCCCAACAAGACTGTCCTGCYAAGTCTCCTCAAGGACCCTGGGTAGAGCCAGCCAGGACAGCAAGCTCCTGAGGTACACATCCCGGTGTCCTTCTGCCCCTGCCCCATGTCCACCTCACACTGGGCTCCTACTTTTCTAAGATTACAAAAGTCCTTGCACTCAGTGTGGCTGCATGTGCATGGGGCTTCCTGATGGTCTTACCATGATGTTGGAGGCCACAACCGTAGGGTCATCACACACGGACTCAATGAAAAACACCTGGTAGAAGTGAGGCAGATATATTAACACAACAAACATCACAAAGGGCCAATTCCAACGTCACTACCACATACGAGAAGCAAGGACGACTGTCCCAAAGACATAAAACAATCACCTGCCTGCAGTGGATCCCTCCCCTCCCCCACAGAGGAGCACCTCCCCAACCTGAGCCTTGCCTCAGGAAGGCTTTATCTATAGACAGCAAAACTCAGGTGGCAGGAGGCAAAGGACCCAGCAGGGATCAGGGAAGGAGCTGGGCTCTGAGGTGTCCTCCTCTTCCCAAAGCTTATTGGGACAAAGTGAGAAGTTTGGCTCACCTTGAAGTCATTTTCTTTGGCAAAATGCAGGATTATGTGTCTTCTCTCTCGAGTAGTGTTGGTGGCATCAAACACCTGATAGAGAAAAGTGAGGAAGAAGAATCTGAGTTTGACAATATTTACCAACAATAAGCCTAAAAATGTGCTTCAGGAGAGTCTGTCCTGCAGGGAACAGGGATATGCTCCCAGTGGCCCTCCCCTCTCTCACAGCTGCAGCTCTCAGGGACAGGAGGGGAGGAGTGGGAAAAGCAAACAAACCAGCAGGGACATGAAGTGGGAGGGTGGACACAGAGGGACACTGGCTACAGTGCTGGCAGCAACCCAGACCCTGCCATGAAGGTATCCAGCTGCCCAGAAAGGAGCAGGAGACAGAAGAGCAGGGCCGCATCTCAGGCCATCCCAAGACCACCTTCCTGAATCACCTGCTTCTCTTAACCCTCAGGGCCAGAGGCTCTTGGTTCTCTATTATCCCCACGAGGGCTCTCAGCACCACTCTGGCCAGTGAGGACACCACCCTGCTGGAGGACAAGAGACCACACCGCTGTATTCCCCAGACTTACTGCAATTTGTCCCCCTTCCTTTGTCAGGTAGCTTTTGACATCTCTCAAGGCAGCCAAGGCACACTGCCTGCAACACAGAAGGAAGAGAAGACGCACTTCAGCGCAGGTCGTGCATGGGGAAGCCTGAGCACCCCCACTCGCCCAATACGAGAACCTGCCCTTCAAGTTCTATGCTGCCAGGTGCCTGCCAGGCCTCTCTGGGCCTAGAGGCTTCCAGTCGGAGGCCCAGTGTAGACAGTTAAAGGCACCCTTGGGAGATGGTGCTCACTCCTGGCTGCACACTGGAATCTCTCCTGGGGGAGCTACTAAAATGACACCAGAGCCCACCCACAGATCCTCACCAGGCTGGCCTGGGTGGAGCCCTGGCATCGGCATGAGAATCTTTACAAGCTCCCCTGCTGAGTCTAAAGGTGCAGCCACGGCTGAACACCAGCGCCCAAGGGCTTCAGGAGGCCTCGGGCTTAACAAGAAATCCTTTGCAAACACAAACAGATGATTTCCAAAGAAAAGGACTTTGTCCACTCTCAGGATGTGGCTGCTGTTGTTGGTCTGTCCCACATCAACTTCCTCAGGACATCTGGGAACTGATCAAACTAGTCTCAGAGACGCCGAGAGGCTTACCCTAACACTGGACGGAGCTGAAGACCACCAGTGGACTGCAGGCCTGCTCTCCCTCCCTCTTAGAGAACCTGGCTTGGACACTGAGCAAACCAACACCCCGAACAACCAACCCGCATCTTACTTTCGCACTTTCATGGCTTCCTCGTTGTCCGGGCGGAAGAAGTTGTAAGAGCTGTACTGCTTCACGGCCTCACGGCGGTACTCACCCACATTGAACACTAGACAGAGAGACAAGGACAGCCCTGGATGACCCAGCAAGAGGCAGAGGGCCCACAGCCAACTGCAAACACATCTCAACCAAAAGAGAAAACCAACTCCCCACCAACACACACCAGTGAATACAACGACATCCAGCATGGAAGCCAGAGGGTGGACCTCCCAGTCCCAGGTCATCACCCCCTGCCTAGAGGCAAGCAGCTCTGTTTCCCAGAACAAATTACAGTACCCACTGCCACTGGCTCTACCTGAGGCATCTTACGTGGCCAGCCTCCAGTCAATCATGACATGGTGGAAGAGGGGATGGCCACAGGTCTAGCAAAAATAGGAATAATGATTTCTGCCTTTGGTCCCCAAGTGAGTGGGTCTCATAATGGTGCCAAGGGGATAGTTAAGGGGCAGTAGGTGCGTTGCTCAGTGGTAGAGTGCAACCGTAGCATGCACAAAGCCCTGGGTTCAAGCCCCAGAACCAAAAGAAAAATTGACTGGGCATAACAGGAGACAACAAATATAAAACACTGTCCCTCATCCTCAAGATATTTCTCATTTAGTTGGGAAGACCAGACAGAGATTCATAAAAGTATCACTGACAGCATGAAAGTATGGAGCACTGGAGGTCAGAGGAATGTCCAACTATGGGCCACACTAATTTCATGAAAGATGCACACAGAATGACGTGGCCAGAGACAGCTTCGTGGAGGAGTTGACACATGAATCAGACAGGATTTAGGGGAGTGGGGGAAAAAAGAGAATGGCCGATGAGACAAAACCTAAAGGATAAGGAGGGGTGGTTGACTCAGTATGGTGGGGACACAGCTGGGATGGGACTGGGATCAGACTCCAAGCCCCAGAACAGGCCACTCCTGCCCCTGCCCACAGGCAGGAGTTACTGGAGGTGAAGGTCAAGTATTTTACAGCTGAGGGGGTCTGGCTTGCAAGGCTGCAGCACTCAACAGAACGGCCTAGCTGGGGACCCCACTGACCTTTCGTTGGGACACCAATCCAGTTGAGGTAGCGAGTCAACTTCTTGGAGATGTAAGTTTTGCCTCGGGCAGGGAGGCCCACCATGACAATCACCGTCGGGGAGTTGGTCAGCTTCGGCCCACAAGCTGCAAAGAGAAGTCAAGAGATGGGTCACAAGTCAGGTGACACAAGTTCATGAACAGAGTCCGATGCCCAACAACAAACTTAGAAGAATGACACTGAATTACATACTTTACTCCCCGTTCCAAAGCCCCTGGACCAACAAGCCAGCAGACCAGGGCCCTGTGGTGGCCAAAGCCCCAGTGAGGCCTTGAGCTCAGTCTCCCTTTCAGTTACAAAGGTGGCAAAAATATACCAGTCCCAAATTCTCAATCTGACAGGAAAGGGTCTTGACCCAGCCGGGGATCCCAGTTACCAACAGCAGGGTGGAACAGCGTTCCTGGGGGGTGTGAGGAAGGGACCCTAGCTCAGGGAGGGGAAAGTCAGCAGTGGGGAGGGGCCCTTTCCAACCAGTGTGCAAATTAGGGGGCAGGTAGCAAAGGGACAAGGTAGGTGGTCCAGTGAGCCAAAAGACAGAGAGAAGCCAATTGTCAACTTTCTAACCTCCTCACAGGAAGTCCAGGCAGGATTTCTTTAAAAAAAAAAAAAAAAAAATCAACAGCCAATTTCTAAAAGTCAGAGCTTATCAAATGAAAGTAGGTCGGGGACCCAGAATGCTGATTTCCCTTCTGGCCCCCACTGCTGAGTGACTGTCCCATATGCCTCAGAATCTCCACAAGACAGAACACAGGGAAGGAGGTTTTCAGAAAGCAGCTAAAAGAAGCCTATTCTAGAAACTGAAGGTCTAGGGCCATCATCTTGCCCCTGGGACTCCTGGAATTCCTGTATCCCAGTGACAAGCCAGCTCCCAAAAGCCAAAGGCCACCTGCCAACTCCAGCCCAGCTGTCCTTATCCCTTCCTGGCACAGGCCCATGACCTGCAGAAGGAACTATGAAAGCCCTACATCCAGCCCAGGCGGTCATTAGAATTGGACAGAAGCCCAGACTCCAGGGGAAGTCTAAGATGGAAGGTAGCTGGGTGGAAAGGAAGGAATGCCAAGCCCTGAGGACAGGCCCAAGTGGGACACCCAACACAATCACAACCGAGGTCACCTTGAACACACCACAGAGGGACTCCAGGATGTGCCCTTGAGCCTGGGCTGGGTTGAGGTGGAGTGCCTGAGTGGCAGGCAGGCAGGTGCTTTGCTTCCCATTCCTACTCATTAATACTCAGGATCTGAGTTAGGAGGACCAAGTAGGGCCATCACAGCCTCCCAGAGGCTCAGAAGCCACTGAAGGCCTGTGGTCACATTCCCTCAGTTTCCAGAGGCCCTGGAACAAACAGATTCCTAGAAAACAGATGCTTATCGCTGACAAGGTGAGTCCCATAGGTGATAAGCACTTGAGCTGTGCAAACACCAAGGGGCCACATAGCTATCCCCAGAGAGAGGGCAGCTTCCCTAAGAGCCAGGGGTGCATAGGACACACCCCAACCCCAACCCCAATAATATGGGCAGCTGCAGTTAACAAATCACAGAGGGGCTACAGCTGACCTCTTCTTACCTGTGCCCTGAAACAATATCCATCCACTGATCCCTCCCCCAGACCAGCACCCATCCCCATCAGGTGACCCCACAGGCCACCACCCAAGAGCATCCAGACATGCACGGAGACACACAGCTGTGCACACATGGAATATCTCTCTTGGAATCAGGCCAAGGAAGCAGAGGCAGAAGCTGACTGATTTCGGGGATTATGTCTATCCACTAATCGCAGGAACAAATCTCCTCTGGCAGTAGACTATCTGGGAGGCAGAAAACAAACAAAAACGATTACCACAGTAGTCAATGCCTTTAGGCAAAAGGTCAGGTTGAATTTCAAATCCAAAGAAACCATTACTCCCTCCTTGACAAGGTGGAAGCCATTCTTCCCATTGGGTGGGCTTCTTGCCTGAAATTCAAAGGGGGCTGCAGCTTCCCTCCACCCAAAGTCCCCTGGATCTCAGCCAAAGGAGGGAACCACATGTCCTTTCAACTAAATCTCTGGCTACTATTCTTCATCCCCCCCTGCACCCCATTACCCTTTTTTAAACTCAAAGCACATCTCAAGTTCCTGCATGAGTCTATAATCTCCTATCCCTGCCGGAATCCCCTTAGACCCTCAGTCTCGTCTCTTCTGTATGGTCCCTTTTTACCACCTATCCTGACACCTGTGTCACTGCCCTCCCTGGATCCCTGCCTTTTCTTCTCCTATAGCACAAAGGATGAGGCATGACAAGTACTGACTTTAACACAAGATTTTCTAAGGTATACTAGTCTTTTTCACTTCATTTTGTATAAATGCATAACATTTCAAATTTTTGACAGTCTTTGAAGCCGGGCGCCATGGCGCACACCTATAACCCCAGCAGCTTGTGGGGGCTAAGGCAGGAGGATCATGAGTTCAAAGCCAGCCTCAGCAATTTAGCAAGGCGCTAAGCAACTCAGTGAGACCCTGTCGCTAAATTTTAAAAAGTGCTACAGATGTGGCTCAGTGGTTGAGCACTCCTGAGTTCAATACCTGGTACCCACCCCCCAAAAAAGTATAAGAGAATACACATGTTCATTATGTAATGGAGAAGGAAGCCCTTGTCTAAAGACCACTGATTACAGCCTGGGAGACTCAGGCTAAAAGTATTACTGATGGTGAAGGCCACGGTCCCTTGAGTAAGAACTCACAGAAAAAAAATCACCAAGTCTCAAGAATGAACCTCCACCCTATATGTTCATAAGACACATGCTCTGGATGCTTGGGCAGGAAGATGTGTGGAAGAACCTGGGTCAATGTCACCAAGTGGTGGGTACCACTGAGCGAAGCCCCGAGTGTACAATAGCTGGCCATACCATTCTGTTAGTTCACAGCACAAGCTGGCTACCTGTGCCCTGTAAACTTACACTGGACTTCAAATGAAAACGAGAGGGCTAGCAAGTCAGCATGCATCTGCAGTGACAGTGACTGGGGAAATACACTATGAAAAAAGTCGTCAGACGGGCAGATCCCCCATCTAGACAGTGCTCGTCTCTAAAATGACTAGGGTGAAAGGCTGCAGCCCTGAGCCCCAATCCAGCTCTCCTCCTGAAGCCCTTCTGGACTGCTGCAGCTTCATGAAAACTCCTCGGGTGTCCAGCCTTATCTGTCCTACATCACTCCCTGGATGAAGTGAATAGTCTCTCTGTGAACATGCAACATGTGGACAAAAGCAGACACTGGACAGCTGCCCTCAACTGCCCTCCTGACACTAGACTCACCATTACAAAATAGATGGTTGGCAAGACCCTCTGCCGTGTCTCCCTCCACCTCCCTTGAACTTACTTCTACTCGGAGGCTCTGCAAAATGTTAACCTTAACAATAAAAAGATGCTAAGTCATCTGTTCTTAGGTGAGACACTTCAATTAATAAGTTCAAGGGGAAGAAATGTAAGGGACTGTTTATGAGAGCTATGAACCAAGAAGGGACCCATTTCCCTCAAGCATGTAAGGAAACTGAGATTGTGTTCATTAACAGGGACCACCTTGACCTACCCTTAAGCAAGGGTAGCATCAAGCTGTGCAAAAAGACCTGCTTTGACCTTGCAATACACAACCACCCTAAGAAGTTGTTTCTGGAAAAACAAACCTAACCCAGCTGGCTCTTGGGAGACCAGAATGTCAGCACAGAGAAGCATGCTGTCTACTGAACAGCAGCAGAATGCAGCCAACAGACACCTCTTTCAAAACCTCTTCTGCACTGTCCGATGGCGTTGGCATACATGAATTACTTTGCATATGTATTTTAACCAGTGTCAACCTAATCTTAAACCTTCACAGCCCCATATGATCTTAGGCAGTGGCAATAGGTATTTTATAGTGACTCTTCAGCAATCTTAGGAGGCAATACAATAGCAGAATGGGAAGCACGGAGGACATGGAGTCAATAAACAGTTTGAAGCCTGGCCTCCCCACTTCCTTGGATAAGTTCCTGTCTCAGTGTCTCCACCTCCTTTTCTGTACAATGGAGGGATGCTCCATAGACACTATTGTAAGAATGAACCGCAGCATAATTCACATGAATTGCTCACTTCAGTGTCCTCTGAACCTATGGGCCATTATGGCTATCTGAATGACAAACGGCTCAATTTAGGTCTTTCCCTCTCAGAATCCTTCACCTACTCCTTCCCAAATGAGTGACTCTCCTAAGTGGTTAAGCCTAAGTAGTTTTTAAAAATTACGTTAACTGGGTTCTGACTGGGGCAATTCTGAACTTGGTTTGAGGCTCCAGTATGGATTTTTTTTTTTTTTCCAAATCTCACCCAAATGATTTTAATGGGCAGCCTCAGCTGAGAATCACTGCAGGGGTCACTTAAGGACAAGGCACGGATTTCTCTGGAATACTGACCCATCTTCCCTAAGTTACAATGCCATCAACAGGAATAACTTCTAGAAGAAAATGTATCACATCCCCCTATCTTCACTGCAGTCAATCCTCTGCAGCCTGTTTTAAATCCTAAGCAAAGATAAACTGGCTTTGTCTCATGCACGCATATTTTAGGAAAAAAAGATGTGGTCTTTATACCTACTGTTTAAGGCACTGCACTGACCAGTGATAATACCCTCTAAGCTCCAATGAAATGACAACTTATCTAATGCCTAAGTGCTAGGTCTTAACTCAGGACCACAGCACTGAGAGGGACAGATATCTTCACCCCCAATTAAGTAGACAGAATGTAACTTACCTTACCGACAAGGAAACTGAGGTTCTAAGTGACTAATAGGGAGGTACTCAATTCTTAGTGATGATAAACTAAAAAGGAGACCCTTGCTAACCAAGAACTTACTTCTAATCAATTCAGCTGATTCACAAATTCGGCAAGTCTCCATTTGCATTTGATGGAAGCTGTGAATTTTTCAAAGTTCTCACCACAGTTAGTGGGACAACAGGGCACCAAATTCAGGTGCTTCAGGGGCAGTAACATCACTCATCTTGGGCTCATCCATCTGGGGCTTTTTGCTGTTGTACTGTTCTTTGTACCTGAACAGAAACATTCCCTGTGTCCTTTTTTTTTAATATATTTAATATTTAAATATATTTAATATATTTTTTTAATATATTTTTTTAGTTTTAGGTGGACCCAACTCCACTGAGCCACAACTCCAGCTTCTGTCCTCCATTAGTAATAAACCTCAGAGGGATCTGCTGCAGACCTCCAAGGAGGAGACCACTGATGAAGATGGTAACAGGTTTAGGAGAAAGAATTCCCACCCAGTGTTCCAAATGCTACTAGAGGAGAAGTGTTCACCTTCCCCCAGTCCAGTAAAAGACAAATATAACTACATAAACTGGGAAAGACACCACTTCTTGAAATAAGGATGTGTAATAAATACCCAGGCTGCAGATATTTTTGTAAGAAGGAATGTGTTGGAGACTCCACCCCAGAGCCACACACAAGGATTCCAGGAGCGGGCGGGACACGAAGAAGCATCTTAATCCATCTGCTTTGGCAGACACACCTCCCCCTCAAGCTCTGAATGGTTCTGACAATGATTCTTCTTCTTGGGCAGATCTCTCATCTGCGTGAGATACGTGCAGGCTCAGGGAGACTAATGGATTGAATTCTGAAGCCTGAAAAATGTCTTCCTGCATGCTGCCAGTCTGTCATAATCACCACTGCACTAATGACAACCAACTTCAGTGTCCACTCAGAAACACAGGATGTTCCTCTCAGACCCAAACCCGGGGACCATTCAGGGAGTGTGTGTGCATACATACATACCATCACCTGGACTTACTTGGATACAGGAAAACAACTCATATATTGTGTGGCAGATTGCAGGTTACTAAGTACTCTACAAATGACATTTACTGTATTCAAAAGTTCAAAAGGGGCAGGACTTGTTTCTGCATCTGGCCCTGGGCAAATCTCCCTGGGGGTATTTTTATAGAAAGACAATCAAGACCTCACCCAGCCCAGATTAGTAAACAAGCCTCAGATTATCTGAAAAGGCTGAGAAAAGAGAGAAGCCTGCCAGTCTCTCCTGGCTACCTTGCCCAGGAAGAGAGCAGGATAGCTCTTCCCTGCAAACCCACAAGCCAACAGAAAGGACCTGCTGGCTGGGCCAGCGCCACCCGCTGGGAGCAGGTCTCCGGCAGAGAAGTCGTGACTCAGTCCCAGCAAACCTCCAAGTGAGCTGTCACTGTCAGCGGTGGCCATCCTGAGAAACGTGGCAACCTGGAACCAAGGTGCCCTCAGATGACCGCAAGCCACCAGAATTTTGCACCTGGATCCCACCCTTGCCTCTCAGGCTACCGACCTGGGCTAAGAAAAACGCCCAGCACGTAGCTCCTCCTTCTGCACTTGTTGGGCTTTTCTGAACGACTTACCTGAAAGGGCAGCACCGCCTTAGAGCCATTTCAACTACCATTCAGCCGCCCAAGAGAAGACTCTCTGCAGCTATAGATGGAGCCCAAGGGAACCTCCAAATCGTTTACCCAGGGCGTCTGGCGCGGCAAGGAGGCGAACCGCCAGCAAATTCCGAGCTCGGAAATTTGCTCTATGTGTGTGCACTTGTGAAACGCCGCCAACCGCGCAGCCACCAACCCAGGGACCCTTCCCAAACCCAGAGCAAAAGGCTTGGTTCCGGATGGCTGTCGCCCCCAGCCTGGGCGTTCCTGAAGTCGTGGAAAGTGCGGAGGGATGGAAATACAGAGACAGAGGAGTGGGAGACAGGAATCGAGAACGAAGAGAAAACATAAATTTATGGTGAGGGTAAAGAAAGAGAGGAGACAGAGAAAGAGCAATGTGCAGGTGACAGAGAAGACAAATGCATGGCAAGGGGAGAGAGGAGATGGAAATGCAGAGAACGGAGGAAGGTAGGGAGACGGGGAACCCGAGGGTGCCCGGAGGAGAGGAGCGGGCCGCGCCCCGGCGGCAGTCAGACGCTGGTGCCGGCACGGAGCGCCCGGACCGACCTCCCAGGAGTCCCCTAGGCGCACGCTTTCCGCCGCCTCAGCTCTCGCAGGCGGGTCCCGGGCACGCTCGCCGTTTCCGGGACCACAGCGCCCCCGCCGTCCATCCACGGAGGCGCAGCCTGCCGCCGCCCCCCGCCCCGCCGACCGCGCCCGCACGAGCGCGCTTCCAAGCAGAGGAGCACCGGCACAAAGCGGCCACACACAATGGCCTGGCCCAGCACGCGGCGCAATCTGCAGCGTGGCCCCCGCGCAGCCGCACTCACATCTGGGCAACGAGGGCCGGTGGTCGACGGGTACCCATATCTTCTGCACCCGGCTCTGTGTCAGTTCCAAGGGCATCTTCGCAGCTGCACTCGGCGGCCCGCCACCCCGGGAGGAGATTCCGACGTGGGGAGAAGGACGGCCGCCGACCCCGGGAACAAAGGAAAGTAGGGGTGCGTGCGCCGGCGCGCGGTCGGGCGCTCGCTGTGCTGCTTTGGGAAACGTGCTTTGTGCTAAGTCCTGGACGCTAGCCCGTAGGGGGATCGGCGGACTCTGCGAGGAGCGCAGAGCTGTGGCTGCCAGCACGGCCGGCTTGTCTGCTCTGGAAAGCCCCGGGATGCTCGGGCGCAATGACAGCCGCGATCCCGCCGTACAGCACGCCCGCTTGCCTGCTCTCCAGCTTTACCAGGATGCCACACGCAGCGCCCGGCCTTTTAAAGTATCCGGGCCGGCAGCACAGCTCACGTCAGCTCTGGGCGGGCCGCATTCTTTGCGTCCCAGCCCCCTTTCACGTGGGAAGAAGATAGGCGAGCCAGGAGGCGGCCTGCTAGCGCCCCCTGCGGGCGGGCAGCAGCAGCACGCCCTGCTCCTGCTATCTAGTCCCAGGTCCTAGGAGAACGCGGAGCCCTGGCTTGCTCTTTACCCTTGTTAGACCTTTCTCTGGTTACCCCTTAAGAAGACCTGAATAATTCCGAATAATTTCTGGTCCCTAACCTGTATTGTGCTGGGAGAAGAGCAACGTGGTGCGCTGTCTAGTGCAATGTCAACCCCTGCAGCCCAGACCTCTGAGCTTTCTCCGTGTAGTAAATAAAATTGGGACTTCATTCCCACCTGAAATCCATTACCAAACTATAAACTCCTGAGTAACTATTAAGAGGCAACACCTTGGTAATGCAAACTCAAAATGTATGTAGTTTTCCCTGCACACACTACAGCCTTCCCTCGCCACATTTTGATATGTCCGAGCCATGCTTTATGGGTCCTCACGGTTTGCATCTCGGCTCGTGATAAATGACAGCCTTGTAGTCAGATCTGAGGCTGTTCGGTGAAGGTCTGGGGAACTCTGGATGAGGACCACCGCCCTAGCAGGAGCACAACATGAATGGCTTTAGCAAGCGAAGTCTCGGCATAGAAGCGTAGCCCTGCCTTGCGGAGGGGTGCACACTTTGCGCAGAGGCTGGGCTGTGATTGGAGGGAAGGAGACGGCGCTCGCTGAAACCCACAGTGCAGTGGAAAAGTCTGCGCAGAGGCTGCCACACGTCGCTCACGTCCTGCATGCTCGTCTGGGAGGGCGTCCGCTCCCTGGCGGCGGGCACAGCTGCTCCCGCCCCACTCTCCAGCCCCGCCCGGGCCTCCGCCCCCTCCAGCATCCGGGTCGCCCGGAGGGGCCCTGAGCGCCCAGGCACCTACCTGGCCCGTGTCCCCGGGGTCTCCGGGTTCCGACCCCGACTCCCTCACCCCACCCTGGCGCGCCGCCCTCCCCCGAGCCCCAGCTCCCCACATAACTTTGCTGACTGTCTGATTTCCGTGCTCGGCAGCTGTTCAGAAACCCGATGCATTGCATTTGTACTTGTTTTTCTGCAGTGGGAGCAAATGCCAGAGGTGACACCCTAGAATTCCCAAGTGAGAAGAGATCCCCACTCCACTCCCAAAATAAGAGTGGGCTGACCCAAAGGGGAAAACAAGTCAGCATGTACCAGCACCACAAGGAAGCATTCCAAGCATTAGGATTTGCAGGAGTCAGTGAGGGAGTCAGACTGCCCAAGGCAGCACCCTGCACCTGCTGGCCTGCTGCTTGCCCACTAAGATTTTGCATACTTATAGGCCAGGTAAGCAGACCAGGTGGCATTCTTTCCCCCTCCAAGATTTTGAACACAATATTGGTTTCAGGTCAGGGGAGTCAAGGGTGGGGATCTGTGCCAGAGGAGGCACATCTTTAATCTCTTGACCTAGATAACAGCATCTGACCAGGGTTGGCAACCAGGCAACTAGACAGTTGACATCCCCAGAGGTCCCAGTGCAGACAGGGCACTTTCCCTGCCTGTGTGTCAATAAAGCTGTGGACCTCCAGAAAAAAGACTGGTTCTTGCCCAGTCACCTCCTGCACCAGCTATGCAGCAAGCAAACAGAAGTCAATTTAATCCCCCTGCTGCTTGGGATAGGTAAATGCAATCAGAGTGCATGAGGGACAAGGACAAATTCACACTTGAGAGAGTTTTTAATGGCCAGGTTGAAATGCTGGAAGCCTTTACAGGCCTGACTAAATGACAGCCCAGGGAGATAAAACTACTTCACTACCAAATTGCTTAGAAGTAACCCAACTGTAACTATATTCCAAGTACTTGCTGTTTTGAGTTTGCTGGTGTAGAGAGCCTCCTAACTCTTTTACCTAGTTCTGCTAATGGCTCCCTATCTTCTCAAACATGGCCTTCAAGAGCTCCACCAACTCCCAAGTCCCCAAACTGGAAAGATACAATGAGTGCAGCCTGTCAGAAAAGGGTGCCAAGATTGTAACTATTTCTTTAGTACATGATATTTTTACAGCCAGAACAACTCCAAGGGCTTGGGCAGACAGGATTTTTTTTTGATTCTGGGTCACAGCCCTCTACCTTATTTAAGCCATGAGGTCTTCAAGTCCATCTAGACAAAATCCCATGCTTCATGTGAAGGAATAAAAGGAGGTTTGGCGATTAGAGAGGTCAGGGAAGCAGGTCAAAGATTAAGGAAGAAAGCCAGTCAGGAACAGTGTTTGTTTGGGGAGTAGGTATCTTCTACTTGACACAGACAGCAGACTGGGAGACTCATTGCAGATCCACCCTAACCCAAGTTGCTGAGAGGAATCCTCAAGCAGGGGAAGATCCGACAGTGATCTCACCCAGAACAATTAAGATGTTTGGAAGCAAAGAGCAGAGAAAGACCGTCATTGTGTAGACAAGACATTAGCAGGGCAATTACTTAAAACGCTACCAAGTGCTTGGTGGAGTGCTTGCAAAGCAGAATTCACTGAGCCAGGTCCACTTTTAGAGAAAGGACTTGGAAGTAGTTTCCCTCCGTGACCTTTACTCCTAGTTTGCTCTGCTGGCCGATGTCATCTAACCCTTACCAGCACTCCAAGCCACGACTATCACGACAGCAGTAAGTGACATCATTTGCATGATCCTGCACCAACTAGTTAGATTTAAACGATTAAACCATGCCAGTGCCTACCTCCTCCCCAGGGAGAGAAAGAGGGTAACAAGCTGTGGCAGGCTGTGAGCAATCAGAAGTTGCTAATTAGACACAAAGTGTCATTATTCTCTCCTCTAAAAAATCCCATGGATGAGAGAGTAAATTTGAGATACCACATAAACAGCAAAACCAAACCCTTCTATCACCATCCATCCAAAGAGGGGGAGGGGTTTTTTTAATAAAATATTTGTAACTTACATGAATGGGAATAGAGACTCAAGACCACCCATACAATGTCACACATTCGATTCAAAAAACAATTCATGAGGGGCTGGAGATGTGGCTCAAGTGCTCACCTAGCATGCATGAGGCACTGGGTTCGATTCTCAGCACCACATAAAAACAAAATAAAGATATTGTGTCCACCTAAAACTAAAAAATAAATATTTAAAAAAAAAACAAAAGCAATTCATGAACTCCTGGCAACTTTATTCATATTTGCCAAAACATGGAAGCAATCAAGATATCCTTTGTTAGATGAGTGAACAAACTGTGGTACATCCAGACAATGGAGTATGACTCAGTGCTAAGAAGAAATGAGCCATCAAGCCCCTAAAAGATGTAAAGAAGCCTTAAATGCATATCACTAAATGAAAAAAAAAGCCAAACTGAAAAAGCTACTGACTGTAAGATTCCAACTATAGATGCTGTAGTAAGGAGGGGCAGAGATGTTTATTGATCTGGCAGTGAACCTAAAATGGCTCTAAAAGTCACATCTATTTTAAAAAGGAAAGAATTCATTCTTTTTCTACACAGGTCATTACTTTTTTCTCCAACCAAGTAGACTTCACTATCTCATTATTGAGATGTAAAGAGGGTCCACTGTGGCCAAAGCCTTGCTCTGGGTCAATCAACTCAAATTGTGCAAACCACATCCCACCAAACCCAAGTTTCCATTTCCTTCTTCTTAGTGCATGTTACTCCACCTGGTATGGTCTTTTGCCTTTTTTAATGACACTCCTGAGTTTGGGATCATGCTCCTGAAACTGCCTTAGTGTTTCATATCCAGCATCACCCTACCCTGCTGCTTCAAGAGGATATTAGGGTCTGGATAAGGCTCCTTACCCAACATCAAGACATAAGAGTATTTTTGTTAAAAAAAAAAGTATCATATTGTGAGTTCAAAATCATCATGCTTTTTTAAAATCAGATGTCCTATGATCTAGTTAGCAGTGTAATACCAACATCAGTTGACTGGTTTTCATATTTACTACAGTTACATAATATGTCAACATTGGGGGAAGCTGGGTGAAAGGTTCATGGGACTCTATTACTTTGCAACTTCTTTCAAGTCTACAGTTGTTTTAAAACAAAAAGGTAACTTTTTAAAAAATATTTAAAAGCAGTGATATCTCTGTTTGCTCAAATTCTGGAGGGGAGTATATAGATTGTGTAGATTTGGGCATTGAGGGGGAAAGACTTGGCAGAAAGATGGTCGAGAACTCCATACTGATCTGCATGTGTTGACAACACCATTGTTTCTTGCAAATGACACATACATGTACACATGGAATTTGCATGAATCCTGCACCTATGGAAAAAGAGAATAAAGCTTTGGCTATTTTTAATGAGGGCGGGTTCTATTTCTCAACTTTGCATAGATCTTTAGGAAAATATCAGTGGGTTTGTGTCCTGTCCCCAGTGGACAAGCTTAAGACAGAAAGAAATAGTCAAAGAATTCTGTAGAGGATTCTGAGAAGTTTATGCTAAGCCTCTTTCCCTGGGGTGAAAAGTGTCTCAAAAATAGTTGACTACTGCAGGTAGCTAGCAGTTACTAGACACTCAAGCTGCAGCTGTGTCTCAGAACCTGCAAGGAAGAAATGGCAGAGGAATCTCAGTTACCACGTTGATCCAGCCAAAAGAAAGTGATCAGAGAGACATCATCCTGGTGTTAAACCGAGCTTCACAGGGACTGTTACCAAGAAAGAGTTCCTATGTCCAAGAGCTTATAGCTGAAGAATAAAGGGAGAAAGGTCCATGGATCAGGCTGAGAACTCAGAGAGGGAGAGGTAAGAATGCAGGTGAAAGGGAAGTCCATACCGGATGTTAAGTTCCCTTAACTGGAGGCAGATTACCTGGGAATTTCACATGCATCTCATTGTTCTTCAGTTTTTTTTCCTCACTGAGTCTGAAGGCATGTGGGACCCAAAGTCAAGATCTCTCATTTCTGCATGCAAAAAGTATTCACTAAGCACCAGCTGGACCAGGGCGATCAAGTCAAGCAAGTTATGTGCCTTCTCTGAATTAAGAATTCACTTTTGAATGTCAGTGTCTCCTCAACACATACAGACACACACATACACACACGCCCTTACCTTTCCTCCTTGAGTTGAAACTGAGACTCAGAACTATTAAATTAATATCCTGTAGTCACATAGCCGTTAAGCTGAGGAATAAAAAACAAAATCTTCAGCTAGTTTGGTATTCTTTTGTGTTTGTCCCAATTCAATCACTTTGCAACTAGAATGCTCAATATCTCCTTCCCAATGATAAGGCTAATAACAAAAGTCTGGATCCAAGAGTTTTAGGTGACAGTCTGTTATGTATGGATATGAGGTGTCTTCCCAAAGCTCATGAGTGAAACAATGTCGCAAAGGTTTAGAGGAGAAATGATTGGGTTATGAGAGCTTTAACCCA